GCGCGTCGGCCGCCCCAGGAAGGCCGCCAAGTGCAACAAGAAGCCCGAGCAGCAGAGCGTCGCCGCCTGCGACCTCAAGAGCATGACCATCCTCAAGTACCAGCAGCACCTGAACAAACTGTGGCAGGAGCCGCAGATGAAGCCGCTCACCGCCAAGGAGAGGTGCCTCGTCAGGGAGCGGCACTGCTTCCTGTTCCGGAACCTGGAAAATGTAATTACAAATTTCTACAAAATCTGACTGATTGACTGCTTTAAACGAAATACGATCTGAGAAATGTCACTTCACTATTTCGGCGTTGAGCAAACAAAATTTGTAATGAAATCTATCTGTTAGCTGCTTATTGAACTGTGCTAATAAACCGTTCTTTTTATAGGTGAGGCGCACTCGCGAGCGTCTCTCGCTATCTCTACCGCCGTCTCCGCCTGCCGCCACCGCTTCCGCGACCTCCCCTGCCTCCGCCTCCACCTCTGCATCCGTTCCCGCGTCCGCGTCCGTTGCCGCCTCCGCTTCCACTTCCACTTCCGCTCCCGCCACTGTGTCCGCGCTGTGCCCGCCAGCCGTGATCAACGTGAACCCGCTCTCCCTACCGGACACGATGAACCCCGCTATATTCCTTAAGAGGCTGCAAATGCTGCGCGCCTCCAAAGAGGAGAGTACGAAGAATCTGCTTCAGTTTGAAGACGACCTCACTTTGGAGCCCAAACAGCGATTGGCCAGGGTCTTCAAGGCCTTGTTCAATGCAATCGTGGCTGTTAAAGGTAAAGTAAAAAGCCATTATTTCCACATTATTTTTAATGAAATATGTTTCTGAAATATTCCGTTGTCATACATCAAAAGACAAGCAACAATATTATTAATACACAGACAGTAGAAATCACAATGCGTATAACATATTCAAACATTTTATATGAACAATCTTTATATAAAACACCTTTGCATGACATGCAATCTTTATATAAAACATGTGTGCAAAATTCAAGAACCGGCTGTTAACTTGATATTTGTTCTCAACTTAGTTGTTGACAGGAAAATGTTTTTAAAAACGAGTCACAGATAAATATCCGTATCGTTCGACAGACGAGGACGGTAGGCAGCTGTGCGCGCCGCTTCTGCGGGCGAAGGGCGAGCGGGGCAGGCAGGCTGAGGGTCCGTGCGATCTGAGCGCGATCGAGCGCGGCATCGCCGCCGGCCGCTACGAGAGCGCGGCGCTGTTCGACGCCGACGTGGGCGCGCTGCTCTCCGCCGCCGTCAGGGAGCACGGCCGCCTCTCCGCCGCCGGCGCGGCCGCCGTGCAGCTCAAGAAGGTGGGTTGTGATGGCGCTAAATATTTAAATTAGTGCTGAAAACTTTTGAAGCGACGGAGAAGTCTCTCGTTGCAAATGCTCCTTGTATAAAGTGTTGTGTGCTGTAAAGGATGCACACTAGATTTTTTTTTCCATAACTGATGTTAAGTTACTAAGTCATAACCGCCGCCCGTGGACATTTGCAACACCTGTAGGGTTGCAAAAGCGTTGCACCCTTTTAATAAACTGAGCACCGGCTACCTCACTCATCAGACAAAACGCAGATGTGTAACACTTCTACTGCAAACCGGTTTTCTGTGAGTTTGTAACCCGGACGGACCTGCCCATTCGTGCAACAGCAAACACTGTTGCGTGTTCCTACCACAGTTAAACTGACGCCAAGCATTGCTAACGGGAATCGATCCAGCTACTGAAAAAATATTTTATTGTGAGCTTAATTTTTTTCCAGTGTCTATTTATATCAAAAAGCAGTTGAGTCTCGTATGCTTAACATAACATGAGAAGTTCTAGGCGAATAACTATTTCTTATATTTTGACAATATTCAATGACTCTTACTGAAAATAATTGTATTCGATTAATTAGATTATTAATAGTTATAATATTTTTTAAAAGGAATTTATCTATGAAATGTATAACATACAAAGTTTAATGCCGTAATGTTTCCGACAAGCACTTGAAAAAATTTCTGAATTGCAAATTGTTGTTAACCGATTATTGTGCTTACAAAACTGAATGTATCAATCAACATTTGTGATGAATTTTAAAGATTTTATAGTGCTAATCTCTGCATTTAAGATTGAACATTAAAACATGTAGAAAAAGTACGAAAATATTGTCGCCGCTGTGGGAATTGAACCCACGTGTTCGGCATTCGCGGCCTGATGCTCTAGCTACTGAGCTAAACGGCTAATAGCCACAGCCACGGCGAAAATCTTAACGCCTTCTTTCTCAGTGGCTAGAGCGTGGGTTCGATTCCCACAGCGGCGACAATCTTTTCTTACTTTTTCTACATGTTTTAACATTTGTGATGGTTACGCTTACTTACAATCTTAAGGACTATAAAAAGTTTTGAGGAACACCGACCCCAAAATAGGTATAATTTTATGTATCAGTCTATTTTTGGTACTATTACTAAGTATTATTGCGTACTAATTTTTTTCGTATTTTGTACTACTTTAGGTTTACAATACCGCAAAGGCTGACTGCGCCGAGCATTTAGTGAAAATTTTAGGCTCGCAAGAATCTCTACCAGCTGGCTTCGTACAAAAGACTAAAACCGGTATGTCATGTTTTATATGTTGCAATTATAGAATAATTTATTAATTGCAGAGATAAAAAGGGGGCTACTATTGATAGTATTTTATACTCTTTATGATTTACTAAGCTGCTAGCGTTTGAATGTAATAAATAAAGAAAAAATATATAAATCTTGAAATTTTTCATATAATGCCTTAAAAATGTACATACTTCATTCCTTCATTTAAGAAATTCACAACAGGGTAAATAGTTTAACAAGTTGATCTGTGTCCCGCAGAGGAGGTGATCCTGTGTATCTGCGGTCTACATGTGGAGGAGGGGCTGATGGTGCAGTGTGGTGGCAGCGGTTGCGGCGTGTGGCAGCACGCGCGCTGCATGCGGGTGGCCGATACCACGGCACCCCACTACTGCCACAACTGCTCGCAGCGCGCCGTGAGTGCACTCGCGTCGCGATAAGCAATAACACACACAACAATAAACTCTAGCAACATGAAGTCAAATCCTGGTGCCTGAAATTGTTAATTTCAAGTTCTGAATTATCAGTGACCAGCAATGAAGGAAAACATGTGCATATTTTTGAAATAACAACAAAAAAATAACATTTTCATGATATCTGAAGTCCGCCAATCCGCAGCGGGGTCGCGTTGTGGCCTGTGCCTGACCTTCACTATAGAGGAGGCCTTTACTCTCCAGTGGGACATGTACAGGCTGTCTTTAATTGAACTTTAATTTTTTTTTAAATACAGACTTTTCTTTGTGCAGGTCGACCGCGAAATACCACTGGACGACTACACAGAGGAGGGGCACCAGTTCTACCTGTCGCTGATGCGGGGCGACCTGCAAGTGCGGCAGGGTGACACCGTGTACGTGCTGCGCGATATACCGATAGACGAGAAGCACCCCGACGTCAGCCAGAGGAGCGGCGAAAAGGCCGAATCGCCGAAGACCAAGCGGCTCGACAGGAAAAAACTCAAGGGCGCCGCCAAAGGAAAGGACAAGCCGGAAGACGGCGCCAACAAGGCTAGTGTTAGTTGTATAAAATTGCTAAATTTAAGTAACCTGACACGAATAAACTCAAATTTATAGTTAAGAACCATCTCAATCACAGCTTCCACAAACAAATACACAGATACACAGCAGATATGTGCTCATTTAAAAGTTACTAGAGGAAATATAGACGATTTCTATTGTGATGGAAAATCGGTCTTAGTATGGATCTAATTGAAAGTGTTTGTTATGAAAATGTAATATAAGTATATAAAATTATTTTAGATGTTTTCAAAATGCGACATTATAATTAGATGTACTATGCTAATACCTAAAAAAAACACTAAAATCGTGAACATTACTATAATTTATTATATTGCACATTACTATAATCGAGGGTGCGAAAAAGATAGTGAGAGACTTAAATAAATGTTAGATTGTTCACAACACACAAATGACATAACTCACACTCCAATAAATTGAACGAAACGAACATAGATTACATTGAACATATTAAATTATTATGGGTTTAAAAAAATGTTGGTTACCTTAATGCATCCTTCGATTGTGGCGCCATCACTGTATATGGGGCCCAGCAGTGACACATACATATAGGCTGTTGCTTTACTTTTCACTTATACGCGAGGCCGTGCTATATGCGAAATGATCTTTATAGGTGGAGATCCGGAAGCACACGTACCAGACGATCGGCGAGATCCCTGTGTCGGAGCTGGACATTTTCCGCGTGGAGCGCATGTGGAAGCACAAGGACACGCAGGAGCGTTACGTGTACGGACACCACTATCTCAGGCCTCACGAGACATTCCACGAGCCCACCAGGAAGTACGTATATATCCAAGATCGCACATTGTATCCAAAAATGTCTATCAGAAATGGTTTTAAAGAAAGAAAGAAAGAAACCTTTTTTGGTACATTTTTTTATATAATATATAACATTATCCTAGTTTACAAATTTCACGTGGACAAACACCCAAATCTGATACAATTATATGTAACACACAGATAATTGTCCCGTGCGAGAATCGAACCCACGACCCCCGGCGCTGAAGCCAATACCTTGACAACTACGCCACGGATTCACCTACATATAAAACAACTACAATTTAAAGGCACCAAAATGATCTCTCACGGAACGGAAACTCAGCTTTAGACCACAAAGTTGACAAACCTTTGAGTTTTTCCATGAGATAGATAGGCATAGATACATAAAAATTGTAAGGGAATTTGTATGGTATGCATTAAAACCTACCAATTATGGAACTACTAATATCTTGAATTATTCGGAATCTCGGAAATGCTCCAACGATTTTCATGAAATTTAGTATGTGCGTAGATTAGTGGGCGAAAAATCGATATGGCTAGGTTTCATTTTTAGAAAATGTCGTTTTATCCCAATTTTCAGGGAATGAATAATATAACGCTCGGTCGGTAATCGGGCGGCCCCGAAACAGAAGGCCGTGGTTCGTGTCACGATCATTTACACACTTATTTTTTTACTTTTTTTCGATTCCAGATCATTGCGTTCTTTATTTTTTATTTTTTGTCGATCCAGATGATTTTGTTATATTTTCCCTTTTTTTTTAAGTTCTTTCTTTTGTGAAAAACACCAGTTCATATTTTCTTATTATTACGTCGGTAAGATCGAAAAATATTATGCATATTTTATTACTCAGTAATTTTTTTTATACTCTAATTTGAATCTACATGTAATTTCCAAAATACATGATTTACCAAGATAAAAACCGAGCAAAGCTCGGTCCTCCAGGTAACTTTACACATTAAATAAATAATATCGTAGCTCTTGGATTGTAATGTATTTGATGTACTTCTCTTTTTCAGATTTTTCCCCAATGAAGTCATGCGTGTTCCGTTGTACGAAGCGGTTCCTATAGAACTTGTCATGTCTCAATGCTGGGTCATGGACCTAAACACGTACTGCAAGGTAAAGAACTTTTATTGTTAATGGAAAAAAGTTAAACTCAATGATTATGGTGTCAAAATATTTTTTTTACATCATTTAGATATCACCATAATAAAAAGACACATTAAAGAAAGGTGCGGTGGTTGCAAGAAAATTGAAATATTATAACATGTAAAAATCGTATTGTTTGTCAAAATAACCCTAATATAAATTACATCTGTCCACATTAGCTATGCTTCTGAGTACAATTACACAGAAATGGTGAAATTAGTACTTGTTAATGATTTCTATCGTTGGAGACTTATAGGGAGATATCTCTGATTTCCTTCTATATGAATAGGCTCATGCGACTTCACAGAAAAGTGGCGTAACGTAGAAGTTATAACGTTATATTATTTTGTGCACTGTGAGTTTACCAGTGGGTCCACCCACTTGACTGTCGGCTGGTATATACCTTTGAACTCACTGAGGTTTATACGCGATCTTAAGTAAGCGCGGTGAGGATGTCAACCGGAATGGATGAATGGAAACGGATGGCACTGGTGGAAGAATCATAGCAGTGGCGAAAATTTTTATGAGTTTTATCTACATATTTTAAGTTTTATTTCAAGTGCGGAGACTAACAAAATATTAAAAAAAACACGTACACTTCTTCAGCTTAACAAAAGAAAAATAATTAAAAACTATCCCATGTCCAAGTACTCTTTGTTTCTGAAAAAAAGACATCAAGTGCTATTGATAAAGGTTTAATTAAATAACTGGCAATTATGGGTTATTGTTTGCCAACAAGTTATTGGTTGCCATGGTAATTGGGGAACGACACATGGAAGTTGGTGTCGCTGTGTGCGTCCATCGTAAAACTTCACTCTCGTAATTTTTCCTATACGCGCCAAAAGAAGTGTAACTTCTAACGCCGTGTTTTGTGTGTGTGCGTGTAGGGGCGGCCGGTGGGCGCGGCCGAGCCTCACGTGTACATCTGCGAGCTGCGCGTCGACCGCACCGCTCGCCTCTTCACCAAGGTGTCCCGCCCCAAGTACCCGCTCTGCACCAAGCCGTACGCCTTCGACCACTTCCCCCAGCGGCTCAAAATAACGCGCACGTACGCCGTGAGTACAATTATTATTTCATATTCATTAGGAAACTTCGCAGCATATAATGATTGTCTTTATGAATTCGCGCTTCGAACACTTGATTTTAAAATTCATGATAGTACGACGAGGTCTGTGTTTTTATTATCTCCTTTTACTATGTTGCCTGAAAGAAATCGCTTTTTAGCGATAAGGCCGCATCAATATATTCGTACAATTACAGTTATGTATTTTTGTTGAGTGTTCAACATCAGTTGTTAGTGTACAATAAAGTACATTTCAATAATTCATTCTGTGCACAGCACATGGATGATTTTAGTGGTTAGACAATAAAGAATACCGAGGAAGAATTAGACGTCTAAAATCACAACCCAATTTAATGTGTGAATATGAATATGCGTAATGTTATTTGTATTTGTAATTTACAGCCACATGAGGTATCACCCGAGTATCTTAAGGGCAGAGCAGCAAAGAGCGCCGCGCCAGCCGAAAAAGCTAATAAAGGTGTACAAGAACACAAAAAGAAAGCGGCGTCGATTGCTGTTGCAGTGGGCGTTAAGGTAAAGTGAATTCTTAATAATTTTATTTTATTGATTATCATTTTAACGATTAATATAAGGTCAAATAATGGAATAAAGTAATTACAAGACACATGTTTAATGGCTATAAATAGTAATAACCGTGCACCGTCGCAGGCGTCCACGCCGACCACTGCGTCCGAGCGGCGAGAGCGTCAGAAGGAGCGCGTGAACAGCATCGCGCGGCGTTTGTTGGGCGCGGGCGCGGCCCGTGGCGCTGTCGACGCCTCTTACCTGCTCGCCCCCCACGCCCCTCACGTCCCCCGCTCCCCTCACGCCCCCCACAACGCCAGCCCCTCTCGGCCCGCCCGCCGCCCCCGCCGCTTCGCCCCCCGCCCGTCCTGACGCTGCCGCGCCTGCCACGCCTAGGGGGACGGACCGAGCGCCCTCGGCCGACCGCCCCACCGAGACGCCGAGAGAAGCCTGCGGACGCTGCAGGGCGAAACGTGGTGCACACTGATACACAACTTGCACGAACCCGGGTTCAATTTCGGAGCACACCGGGTGTGAAGCAGCCAATGGACAGCGCTGTTTATACGCCCGTGTCGGCCGATTTTGGCTAGTTACAAATTCTCTATTCCTTTATAATAACTCCTATAGCGAACGAAGAGCACGGGCGGATAGAGTGCACACTTATCAAACCTGTGGCAGGCCATAGGAACACATGTACGGTGCAGCACTGATTAATCGGTGCCTATTTTTCACGCGAATACATCACCAATCCCATCACTATTTAGAAATTGCTTACGAAAATAGTTTTCATTACAAAATCGGCCATTAGATGGCACCTATAAATATAAATAACGACTTGAAAATATATAAATTACTATCCCTTACATTTAAAGTATTAATATATACACATGAATATAGCAATTTTATGAAATTAATACAATTTGTACACAATTTTCACTAGTAGTTCAACATTTTCTTTTCTAAGCATGTTAATTAGATTATTTGAATTTTAAGAAAATAGTTGCTGTTCATAAGAAACTCTTGTTAAAGAATTATATACATATATGCATTATTTGAATTTAAAAAAATGTAATATGGGAAGATTTTTCAAATATACTAAAAATTTATGTTCTTTAGCATAATCAATTCTGCAAATTCCAGTTATTCAATGTTTCATTGTTTATATCTGACTAATAAAGAAGGTATGTATTTGTCTTCTCAAATCTTAATGTGTACCTTTTTCTTACATTCCGCTTACGTTATTGGATTGAGTCAATAAAAGTGGTAATCTGGAATAGCGGCTCACGTAATCGTACAAGATTGTTGTAACGAATCTCGCTTGACCTTTGTATATAAGCGTTACATTATGTGATGATAAATTATGATATTTTTGTAAGAAAAACAATAATAAGTCACGATCAAATTGCACAACGGGGTGTGATTGTGGCATATAAGAATACATTTCTATTTCGATTAATAATTTATTCCCGTTTCGGTTTATACCTTAGACTATTTTTTAGTCACTTTATTGTAATCTCAAGTTTGTTTGGTAATTAAATAAGTATCTAAATAAGTTACGCCTGCATGGGCTGTTCTATACAGCAGCTAAATCATTTATTTCATATAGGTTAATCAATATTTGTTAAAACTTAACAATAAATATGATAGACTAATGAATTTATTATATAACGACCACTGGTGCGAACTGATGTTAAGCATTGAAAAGTTTTAATAGGGTTAGAATTGGTCAAGTTGTTTGGAGGTTGTTAATATAATATTAGTTATTGTATAATTATTGTCATAACAGCTATCTTCCGGTAGTGTAAGGATAAAAATTAATTTTCGAGACATCTGATCATTATGATATCCCGCACCATGTGAGACGGAGGTTCTATGGGCATGCCTTATATCATGTATTAAAATCTCTCTATATTTTTTATGCGTTATATAAGCTGTAAATATAGTTGACATAGGGTGATTGGTTGTTTTAATTTAATTAAAAATATATATTCTGGTTAATGCATGGATCTTTTCTTATTAAAGTAAATCTCTCCGCCGTTAACATTTTCAGTGAGTGCCAGGCTATTTCTTATTTTGCTAGCCTTTATTATTGTGATTAATGAGAACAAATTGTTTTTGTTTCTAATTTATTTGTAAATTACTGTTAGTTTTTTTAAACAATGAGTCATCAAAGTGTTTTCTATGATAAATTATGTACCTAGTGGTAATATTTTTGCTTACGCATTCTTAGTATTTTGCTTTATGTTTGCATTAAATGCTTCTTTGCGAATAAGGGTTAACAGTGAATGGAACTAAATAGATTAATGTAAAATTGATCCCAAAATAAAGTACAAAATCCGCCGAAACCGTAGACAATTGCGACGAGTCCATTACAATTTGCTTTTTTCCACAAGGCACGGTTTATTTTTTTGTAGCGAATCATAGTTAATATTGTTGATTATAATAAAGTAATATTTTGAAGCAGAGACATTATGCACTCATCCGTACGTTGGTTTGCACAAACTGCACATAAATATTGACTCTTAGATAAATTAATAAAATAACACTGCATTTTCAATATGAATTACATTAGTTATATAAACAGATCCGTTAGAAAGTGAAATTCCATATCTGTACTTAATTAGTAAAAAGATAGTTTTCCAATAGTTGTTAAAGTATCGCAGTAGCATGTGCGATTATTACACATATTTGTCATGTTTAATCAGTTGATGTCATGTTTAATGCTCATTTCATACAGCTTCAAGTATTTTGGGATCAAAATTCTATCATGCGTTTAGCGTTCGGCACCCAAATTTGTTTTCTGTTGGTGAATTTCGTAATACACTTCGGATTATCCACAGTCGAAAGTAATAAATTTTAAAAGATGTTTTCGAGGTATTCTGACGTTTTACATGATTTGATAACTACAGGCGATTTTTTTCTGCGATAACCATCATATCTGTACCTTTGACTCATTAAAGTTGTACATCGTTTGCAAACTGTACAGTGGAACAATTTTGGAAAGTATGTACTCTCAACTTTAAGGAGGTTTTGATAAATGCATCGTTTTTGACATGAGAGATACTAGCTGTAGTAGGGCCATGCAACAGTTCACGGATGGACAGGTCTGTCTGGGGAAGTACCACGACCTTACAGCAGACCGGGGTAAAGTGGAAGTGTTATACTTCTGCGTTTTGTCTGATGAGTGAGGTAGGCGGGGCCTACTTTAAAAAGGCAACGCATTAGCAAACCTACAGCATCATGCAAATGTCCATGAGCGGCAGTTATCACTTAACATCAGGTGAACCGCCATCGCTCTTACCATCTTAACATAAAAGAAAATTCACGCATTGGTTTATAATTGGTTTAGTTTGCCTTAGTAGTCAAGTGTTACAGTTCAGCGCACGAGTGGCACGAGTATTTGACCTATTTATCTGTTATTACCTAATTGTTCCGGATCTGAGCGTATTCCTTTGAACAATTTATGTATGAAGCTGTTACCACAAAACATGAGTAGTATTGAATTTAAATGTGTTTACACCATTTGCCGGGAACCGTGAGGATGTCCACTTTCTACGAATATCAAACCTATTTTATTTATTGCAAATTACTAACATTTATTCATGCAATCTGGTTTATGTTTGCTTGGTATACAGCGTGTCTTTACAATGGCGACAATAAATGAACACACATATAGAGGATAACTTTTTAAAATTGTATTAAAGATTTACATTCTTTAAACATAAATATTTACCGAATTATCAAATTTTCCAAAATTTTAGAACACCTTACGTATAAAACCATAACGTAAAGTTCATTTCTAAAGGTCACAAAGCATATGAATGGGTTGAATGAATTTAAAAGAGACAAAACATACTGTTAGAAGGAGAGGCTTGTAATGCGACGCTGTGGCGCGAGTTGTATAGGTGTTACAAATTTTGTTTCTTTTTTACTTAATTAGTTTGTTTGAAAAATATTTTTTTTAATTATTTTATTATTTTTAATAAAAATATTTATTTTTATGATTATTCAATAGTAACGACACGTTAGATATAAACGTGTTTTATAGTAAGGGCTACGATTTTCCATTGTCGCGCTCATAGTAACGACAAGCGAGCTGTAGATATAAATCTCATTAAAAATTTTAAATTGCTGTTGACTGATGCCCCAAATCCCCTTTTTATGTGAAAAGTTGCCAACCCGGACATCATTGACATCTGCCACACCCTGAGGTTACAGACGCGTTGAGCCTACCCATTCGTGCAACAGCCGAGGACGCTTCGTGGCCCTACCACCGTTTAGAGTTCTCAGTTCTCGTTCGATTTAGTAGCCCGCGTCAAACCATTCGTTTGGTCACTGATTGCTGGCAGCAGTGAACTTCTGGCAAGCATTTTGTAGTATATCGTTCCTCATCGATGCTTCAGTGAATGTGTAAAGAACTGTCACTTTATATCGTTTCACTGAGAATTCAGAGGTCTAAATCTTTCCTGTGCTTTTCAGCCGCTTCACTTGGTCAGATTATTGAAACAGGTAGACCGTCGTGTGGCGCTTTGTTTCTGGATCGCTTTCATGTATCAGATCATTAACATAAACACATCGAGACGAACCCATATTCGTCACACGCAAAGGTGTTCCTATTTAATTCTAACTCGTGAACTCTAATATGCAATATTTGCCGTACTTCCCCTCTTGTGATAAATGTTTCGTACTAGCAATTTACCTTTCCTAACATCCAAACGCAACAAGTTCTTACATGAAGTCTCGAAATTAGTCTACTTTGTGGTTAATTTTACCCGACCGCCAAAGGAGTGTAATGTTTTTAAAAGCGTTGGTATGTGTCGAATTGTCTATGTATCTTTTTGACAATTTTCAACATGTGAAATTCGACTTAGATTATTACAGCGATTCAGGTTCACAAGCCTTTAGTACTATCGCTGGTATACCCAGCGCCGGATTTAGGGGAGGGCAACAGGGCAACAGTCCGGGGCCTCCACAAAAGAGGGGTTCCACAGACTAGTAAACGACTTTTCCTTTCATATTTTTTTCATAATTCTCATTTCCGATTATATTTATATGTTCGTTAAATAATAAAAGAATCTATACTTCGTTTCACAGTAAATTATTTATCGGAAAACTCGACTGAAAAAGGTTGTTCATTTTATTACGAAAAAAATTTGGGCCAAGGGGCCAATTTCCACTCCTATGTTGCCCCGAGGCCTTCAGATCTCTAAATCCGGCAATGGGTATACTATCGCTATTTTCACATCCAAACCCCTGTTTTTAGTACCTCTCTATTTATTATAAGCACCTCTTTCATACGGGTAGTGAAGGTCGTAGAGCGTTGCCGTAGTCAAGAAGTGAATAACAGGCAATAAGAGAAGCAAATAGAT